CCCCAAAACCCCAAAACCCCAAAACCCCTATTTAAGCCAAATTATTTCTAAAATGATCCTGACAACCTATACAAACCTTGTAAATCTTTGAATGGATTTAAAGGGCACCTAGGGCTCTAGCCAAAACCGGGATGAGAGTGGGAATTAAGGATCATGAAGATATCTGTCTCTTTCTAATCCGAAATCTACTGCCTTATTCAAGCAGTTGCTTGTTCCCTTCAATAAGAGCAGTTATCTACATATCTAGATTTTTGGTTTTACTAAAAAGTGATCATTTTCTTATGTCTAATGCCAACCCTCTGATGAATAAATCCAGTGAAGATCCCTCACTTCTCAATACAAAACAAGATATTAGGATAGTAAAACTGTAAGAATAGTATGCTCATCTCTAGGAAAAGATTTGGAACGCTCATTAAAGCAAAGATTAGACAGAATTCAGGAGATATACAGATATTTATAGCCAAGTAAGTCTCAATTTTCCTCCATGATGTTCAACCCCAAATGTCATTTTCTCACATTAAGAGTTAAGAAATCTACTATTCTATTTGAAATTGCTTCGTTAGGTCACGAATAAAATAAGAGAACTTCAGGAAACTAGTTGAAGACATCTTTAACTCTTTAGAACCAAATATCTAGTAGTTGGAGAAATCTTAACCCAACCAGAGTTATTAACAAGAGCTCAAGAGAGAATGATGACTTGAAGGTAAGCCTTGATGTCAATCATCGAAAGTCTTTTAGAAATAGTAACAAATGTGTATATAGACTGCTTGAGTAGTCCAAGAATCCCTGAGTTGGCAGGGAGCTATAGTAAACTCTTTATGTTCCAAGAAGTAAACGATAGATTCTGAAATAAAAGAGGACTTGGATTCGTGGGCAGGTATCCAATCCTAGCTGACCATCTAGGTACCTCAAGAGTTACGACCAGTTAGACAATAGTATGAATTCAGTTCCTTTCTCAATGTCTTCTAAGCTCAGCATTATCTAACATTGCTACAACAGAGCACCTATAACAACCAAAAGAAGGATCCTAATGAAGCACTATCCAAAATTTTCCACAGAAATCTCCCTAAAAGCTCTACTTGAGGAGAAGAATGTCACAGAGACGACCTTCAAGACCAGAAAATTTGTAAGTAAATTGGATCACATCTTTCCAATAATCAGAGTAGGTTTCAACCTGTATGAAAGGAACGCTCCTGAAGCACCAAAGTAGACAATAACTCGAATTTGATTATACAGCTCGAAGCCAACTTTCAATTTCAAATATTCTGAGGGGTTTTGGGGTTTTGGGGTTTTGGGGTTTTGGGG